GATCAGGTCATTCCCCACCCCATTTGGTTCTTTGGTGTTTCAGACAGTATAATGTCTAAACTCCTGCCAAGATGGGTTTACACCTGCCTTTACACCTACAACGGAAGAAAACAAAACAAAACAAAACAAAACAGACCTCTACAGTGCTATTCGATAAGACCTGGTGTATTGGACAGAGGAACACCATTCATGGAAATAGGGAAAGGCTTATGGAGAACATATTTGAACTGGGATATAAGAAATCAGGGGCATGGAACAGGGTCAGGGACATTCTACTTACCTACTTTGGGTTCCAACTATCTCACCCAGCTATCAACTATTTCCTATCCTTCTCTATGGGTTCTCTGTACTCACCTACCAGTTACTCACCACTGATTTCTGCCTGCTGGATCTCACTGTGCCTGCAGGCCCTGGCACTGGCTTGGGCTATCTTAGTTTGACCCCAGCAGAGCTTTGTGAGGTAAGCCCACCTCCTTGTGAGGGAGGAACCATTGTGAACTTTGCCTATTCAAATGTAATCCTGCAGTTGTGATGGTTGCCAAGTGGGAAGGGCCATGGTGGGTGAGGGCAAAAAGGGGAGGGATTACATTGTATAAATTGCTGGTTATAAAACAGTCACAGGGCCATAAGTACAGCATGGGGAATATAGTCAATAATATACATAGAGTAACTATGTATAGTATAGTTGAGTACTGGACTCACTAAGGTGATTAATTCATGACATAAATGTAAAATAACTATGTTGTACACCTGGATCTAATGTATGCCATCTGTAATTGAAAAATTAAAAATAACATTTTTCAAAAAAGGAAGTTGATTTCTAACATTTGAGTGTTGCTTATAAAAGGGGATAATTTTTCCTGGACCTCTTTTTGGTCTCTGGGTTGGCCTAAGAATTAAACTGGTATAAGACAGAGTAATCAGAGAAAAACACACATTTAATTGAATTTTTACGTTTATGTGGGAGACCTGGCAAGAAAATGGCAACCCAAAGAAGTGATCAGAACAGAAAGCTTGTATGCCTGTAGACAAAGAAACGGATTTGTAAAGAATTGACAAGACAACGGAGTTTGAGGGAGGGGTATAAGTGGTAAAGAAGTCTCAAGCTTTGTTTCTAAAACCTTCATGGCGCTAAATTCCCCACCTTTAGTGATAAAGATGTTTTCCTTCTTTCTGGTACTGGGAGACCACTTTACACAGGGGACATTTGTCTCTTCCTTTCAAAGGAGAAGGGTATGGGGAGGTCAGAGTGTCTTTCCTGCTTCTGCTGTTTTCTCAAACTCCTTCAGATGCCTCATCTATTCCTCTCCTCAGGCCTCACTCTTTCAGGTTTGTCTCTCTGCCCTGTCACCTCTGCTCACCTAGCCTCTGGGAGTGGACTGGGGGATGGTGGCAATTCCTATAGGGAGAGAGAGAGAGAGAGAGAGAGAGAGAGAGAGAGAGAGAGAGAGAGAGAGAGAGAGAGAGGAGAGAGAGAGAGAGAGAGAGAGAGAGAGAGAGAGAGAGAGAGAGAGAGAGAGAGAATGTATTAGGGAATTCCAATATATATCCCTGAAACCCTTAAATCACAAGTTCTAATTTAGAGAAGGCAGTCCATTCCATTGCCTTTCCAGCTGACTAGATGGGAGGATCTAGAATTGTATGTTTTAGCATAGTTGTGGAGAGTTCTTACAATGCACATTCCCTGGACCCCAACGCTAGGAGATCCTGATACAAAAAGCTAGTGACTTGGGAATCCAAGAATTTCTTGGTCATTCTTTAGAGTTTCCACATTGAGCCAAGTTTGGGAACTGTTTTAATCACCATACTGATGCTGCACTTCAGAGCTTTTGAGGTATTGCTCCATTAAACCCCCATGTTATTGGGCAGGGACCATCCAGAACAGGCATACCTCTCTGGCCAGCCATAGTGTGTGAGTTCTAGGCTTCATGCAGGAGAGATTTCACAGAATAAGTACAGGTGATGTAGACAGTACTTTGATTAAAGCTAGGACAGTGAAAAGAAAGAGCCTAGGAGAGAAACAACAGGAGAGAGAGGCGGGGATGCTTCGGCTCTCTAGAAATGTTACAGGAAAGAAGTGAGCCAAGGTGAGGCTTCTGTCAGCTCATTGGAAAGTCAGAGAAAAGGCATTTTGGAGACAAGTTCAAGGGGTTAGCCAGAGGTGAGCTGCCACTGCCCATTGCTCCTCTGGTTGCTAGTCTCCTGGGGTACCTTAGGAGATGCATGCCTGGGGGGAGGGGGGAGAGAAGAGGGGAAAGGGAAAGGTGTGGGCATGCTCCTGGGAGGGAGAGCTTTGCCTTGGTCCTTTGTCTTGAACACATGTGTCAAACACAAGGCCCGCGGGCCAAATCCGTCCCGCCAGGCCTTGCAATGTGGCCCGCACCGCGCTGTCATCACTGCACTCCGCTGCGTTTCCATCACAATGACAGTTTATGACTGTTCAGTAAACCATTCGGCCCGCGATTTAGGCTGGATTTTAGATTTTGGCCCCTTCTCTGATTGAGTTCGACACCCCTAGTCTTGAAGGTTTTAAAGACTGGGAGTGTAGGGGAGGTCTCGGGGGAAGATCTCATACAATATTCACCAATTTTATGCTGAGACACCAAAATAAGATTTATTCCCATAATTCCATCTCTCCTTATATGTGGTTGGCAAATGGTGCTAATTGGACTCCCAATATGTATTTCTTTGATTAGGATGACTTAAGCTATTTACCCTCTGGTTAGGAAGGTGAAGTGTAAACCGTTTACTCTTGTGCCCTTGATTATGGAAGGTAGGGTTTTGTGACTTACTAGCTGGCTGTAAACTGTTGGCCATGTACCTTTCTTAGTTTCCCTATTCCACGTATCGAAGAATTTTCCTAGCTTCTTACTATCCTGCCTCACTCATAGACTGCTCTGTTTTTCAAGTGCTTACGTTCTTTTTTGTTCTTTTCAGTTTTCCTCTTTATTCCTGCATTTACTGCCACCTCCAATTTCCTGCCCCCAAAGTACATAAGTTAGAATAATGCATGTCGAAATAGTAAATAAACTCTTCTTGAATATCTGAGATTTCCTCCTACTTTTGGAGTCCAGCTGATATAGTTGTAATAAACTAATTATTAATAATAGAAAAGGAGAAAAAGGGTAGAGCAGACATTATACACACAGCCATCTGGGCATCTTCACCAGGAAGCTGAAACTTTAGACCCCCTCCAGGGGATCACTGGCCCACTCCCCAAAGATCACTAGGGGAGAGGGAGATGGACACATGTGCAGTAAAGTCAGGGTGACGTAGGGAAGGTGCCTGTCAGTCAAACTTGGCAACAGAAATCGTTTGCTAGAAGGACTGGCACGACTGCAAGCCTGTGAAAATTTGGGGATATATAATCCAAAGACAAAGGAATTCTCACTCTCTTGTTACTCTCTTACATGTGCCCATGTTCCTCCATAGCCATATGGCCCCAGAGGCCCCATGGCAGATGGACTTGCAGACCCCACATGCAATGGACTGATGACTGCAGCGAGGAACACACACTAAACTAGCCTGCTGGATTAGACTTGCCCCAACATGGGATGGAAACTCTGGGCAATGGCTTTAATCCCAGCCCTGCTAAAGGCAAAGCTGGACTTCTTCCTTGGTGGGACCAAGGGAAATGGAACCTGGAAAACTCAGGGATTTAATTCCACAGAAATAAAACTTTCTGTAATATCTCATCTTCTCGTATTAGTCTCAAAAAATTCCCTTTCTCATGATATCACAAGAAGTTCCCTCTTCCTCTCCCCCCAGTAACTGGTAGTAGGTACACAGAGAGCTCCCTGCAGATAACACTGCAATGCATAAACTTTTGGATCTTTGCTTTAGTTATCTTGCTAGGGGTTTAGGCCTTCTTGCCTTGCTCTCGAAAAGCAGACTGCATTGTCTGAGATATATATTGTGTGGCAGTGACCACAGTGTACTGATTAATAGTTTGAAATTGTCACAAGCTCTCATTTGGCAGTGATCTTTATATTTGCCTAACCACCTCTGCTTTAGCATTGCCAAATGTAAACAATCTAGACTAGGCTTTGTATTTAAAAACAGTGCACACAAAAACAAAACAAAACACACACACACACACACACACACACACACACAAAAAAAAAAAAAAAAAAAAAAAAAAAAAAAAAAAAAAAAAAAAAAAAAAAAAAACTCCCTCTGGAACAGTCCTTTAAATCTTCAGCAGACAATGGCATCTATCTATAGATACTTGTAGGAGATTAGAATTTTTCCTGGAAGTCAGAAAGTGTGTCCCAGGAGATCCACTGCCAATGGAAAACATTATGTAAAGGATAAAGAGAGCTCAATGGCTTACATCCATTGAAAAAAAATCAGTCAATAAAAATAGTGAGTTATGTATTTATTGCATATATGCAACTCAATTACAATCAAGCAAGAGAGGATCACATATGGGGAGACTGAAAAATATCTCTGAACTTGTATTGGGAAAAATGATACATTCTTAAATGTCTTGCTCTTGAGGTAAAAATGGCTCTTTCTGCCAGCTGTTATTGGGTGGGTGAGTAGGTAAATGGACATCACACAATTAATGAAGTTATTTTTGTGTGTGGCTGCTCTGGATTTCCATTTGCAAAACTAGACTGTAGGTTGAGCATTCCATTCTGTGATCCAGGTATCTCATCCACCCTCTGGCCAGGTGTCAGTTGTGCAGAGCAGGAATTCCTGAACCAAAATAATGCAGAGTATTTAAGATGATCTTTCTGGAAGCCAGGGGTCATTTTCCATTTCCCGCATACTATAAGGATTAAAGTTCACCTTGGCCTAGGAACCCACTGCCAGCGCCAGCGGTCAGGGAGATCCGACCCCACCCTGGCCGGCTCTGCACCCTGCTGGGAACTGTCCTTGACCCCAGCAGAAACAACCGACGCGCCGCGCCTGCGCTCCCGCCTCCAGGGTGGGTCCCGGACTACAAGTCCCGGCTTGCTGTGCGCATCACGCCTGCGCTCACCACGCCTGCGCTCGCCGCCTTGCAAGAAGGGAGCGAAGGCGTGGTAGGCGTACCCAGCCGGCAGAGGAGGCTGTAGCGGCGGCGTTGGGAAGTATGGACAACGCAGGGAAGGAGCGCGAGGCAGTCCAGCTGATGGCGGATGCCGAAAAGCGACTTAAGGCCTCCCACTCCTTCCTCCGGGGGCTGTTTGGGTGAGCGTCTGGGCGCGCGCGTCCCGAGGGGTGGTCGCCATCCCAGGCCCATCCCCGGTCACTGCCTCCCAACGCGTCCCTCTGGGAGCCTCTAGGGCCCCTACACCTCTGCACAACCCGGCCTCTAAAATCCTTAGCCCAAGGGGCCTCCAGCCCCAGCGCACCCTCCCGAGATTCTCTAGAGATTCTCTAAGGCCCACCGACCCTACTCCCATGCTCCGCTATGTCCCCTCCGGCACGTTGGAGCGAGGATCCCACGGCCTTGCGGGTCCGCGGCAGCCGGCGTGTGCGTTGGCCCTCACCGCAGTGGCTGGACGGATTAGTTCCTGTCGCCTCTGCTGAACCCGCGTAGCTGGGGAGACCTGTGTGGCGTCGGCGCGAGGGGGCCCCGGGGAGTCCGAGGGGCTGCACCTTGGACACCTGGGGAGCGCATCTGGGGAGTGCTGGCTGGGAGATGCGCCCTGCGATGGGGCAGACGGCCCCCAGCACCCCTCTCCCACTTCTCAGTGCCCATTTTCATTGCGCCAAGTAGACATTTGATAAATGAATACTCATTGGATGGACGAATGTTTTCTCCGCATAATATTAATATATATATATATATATATATATATATATATATATATATATATATATATATTTTATTTATTTATTTATTTATTTATTTTTTTTTTTTTTTCTTCACCAGAGATCGATGTAATTGCCAGGGCCTCCTGTTTGATTTAGGGTAACACAGCTCCTGTTTAAGTTAGCGGTCGTTTGGGAGTCACTTTCATTTCCAGTAATTCTTCCATGGTTTTAAATTCGGGCTTTCCAGAAAGCAAAGCCTGCATTGACAGTTCTTGGAAGGATTACGGGCAGTTGAATATGTGAATGATTCAGCTGTTTAGAATTAGAGAGGCAGAACTATCGCGCGTTTTGTTGTTTTTTTCCCTTTTGAAAAAGTGAAGATCCTCTGCTGACACCAGGAGCATATGTTTTATTCTTGAGAAGGGCAAGCGGCCCATACTCAATTGCATTATTAGACGCGGTTTTATTTCTGTACAAGTTCAGTTTGGAATCTGCTTGTTTTACCAGCTTCATTCTTCAGGTTATAGCACTTAACCGTGGTTGACACATCCCCGGGAACTGCTCAAATGCAGGCTCCACGCAGTGCACAGCAGTGTGGGCTGCAGAGATACAGAAAGATGAAGCTTCCTGTTCTCAAGAACCTTTCCTTTCCGAGGGCATGTATCCCAGCCGGGTTCAAAATTCCTCATGTAATGTGTAGTTTGAAATATAATGAATTTTAAGTTTGTTCCCCTTTAAAAGTGGCCACAAATCCATTAGGAACCCTGCCCAACACTTGGTGCTAACACCAGACAGTAGCGCCTTTCTCTGATTCAGAAAACGTTGAAAATTTATTTAGATAAAATGTATGTCCTGGTGTCTCATGTCAGGAGATGTTTTAATGCCACAGCATATTTCAAGCCAGGATGTCCTTCCCTGGAAGAGAATTTGTAATTGGCAGGAGAAAAAAAAGCATGACAGCACTTGATGCTTGTTTCGGGGAACACATTACATTTTTTAAAGAGGTGCTGCATTATTGTTTTTGTGAAACTAGGCCAAATCTTGTCATTAATCCTAAAAGGCTTTTGAAAAGCCTTTTTTTTTTTTTTAAGGCTTTTTTGTCTTGAAAGAAACATCTATTTTTCCTTGGCTGGTAATCATCAATTTTGTTGTTGTTGTTGTTAATATTTTTTCCATTGATTTTTAGAGAGTGGAAGCGCGGGGTAGGGGTGGGGAGGAGAGAGAGAGAGAGAGAGAGAGAGAGAGAGAGAGAGAGAGAGAGAGAGAGAGAGAGATGATCGGTTGCAGCCGGACAGGATCTGGGGATCATGCCTTTGCCTGAATGGAACCAAAGACCCTTGAGTCCACTGGCCCACGCTCTAACCACTAAGAAACCTGGCTAGGGCCAGCCCGTGCTTTAAAAGGGACAAGTGATGCTGTTTTGAGGATGTGGCAGCCATTAAAATGTGCTCAGCGTTCGGCAGATATTTTACATCGTGCACTGAGTCTTAACTACACATGAAAACCTTATTAGGAGTTCATCTTCTTCACGAATTGTTTATCCACCACCCATATTTGTGGCCATACTGTGTCCTCAGAACTATTCTACACTCTTCCTTTTTGTGGCTTTCAGTAAAATTAAATTAAACTATGCATTGTATATTCCCAAGAAAAAATCAGTCATGTATTATTTGTGTGCAAGGCACAAGTCCCATGCTTGCTTTAGAGATGGCAGTGTTCCTTTCCCACATCCCTCCCATAGAAAAAGAGATGCCAAGGAGATACAACCTTCACAAGAAACCAGTTAGTGAGTGGTGTTTTGTGTTTCTTCTTGACTGCCAGTTCAGCAGTGATGTGTTTTGTAGTTGTGGAATTAAATTAAAACTCTTTCTGAATGGGTTACCATAGTATAGCAAAACTGCCCGCAAAAGAGGAGTGTTTTCATTTTATATGTTTCCAGGGGTGAGCTATTGAATTTGGTACTTGATTTTTAAATTCCAATTTAGAATCTTATGAACTGCTTAGAACAGGGGTAGGGAACATCTGGCCCTCGGGCTGTGAAATCACTTGATCTGGCCCTACCAGGGCATTATGGTTGAGTTAATTAAATGTTTGACCAATTTAGCAGGCTAATTTTTAAGTTGATACTTTTGTATGGCCCGAAAATGTTATTAATATCCAAGTGGCCTTTGGGAGAAAAAAGGTTCCCAGCCTGGCTTACCCACTAAATGAACTGCTTCGTTTAACCTGGGTTTGTCAGTAAAATAGTTTTGGATGGCTAAGGCCTCTCATTTTTCTCCATCTTGTTACAAGGAGACCAGATTGGGGCTAGACTGCAGAGTGCACATCAGATTGGCCTTTTTTTCTGTTTGCATTTTTGCAGTGTTCACCATTTATTCTCTCACTAGAGGCCCTATGCACGAAATTTGTGCAAGAAGCTCAGCCCTCGCAGCCCTGGTTTTGTCTGGAAGGTCATCCGGAAGGACATCTGGGAGGTCATTCATCTGTCCAGTCTAATTAGCACATCATGCTTTTATTACTTGTTTATAAAAAGTAGGGATAACCCAGTGGTTGTGTGTGGCTCTAGAATGTAAGCCCCTAGGGAGACTGTCTTATTTTATTACTGCGGCATACCTCATTGTGGTGAACAAGGGAGCAGGGAAAAGGAATCACTGGTTGGTTAATTAGGGGAGACCTCCCTAAAAAGCCAATAGAATCACACACATAACGGAGACAGAGAGTGAGAGCTTATGCAACAGAAGTGAGCGGAGCAAGCATCTGGCACCAAGTCCCAGTCACTGGCAGCATCACAGGTGGAGAGGCAGGTGTCATTCTCAAGCCAGGTGGCTACAGCGGTGGCACATGTCCAGTGGAGTGGAAGTCTGGCAGGGCTCCGAGCATGACCCACGGTACCAAGCTCGAGGACTGGGTGGTTAGAGCTCTGAGCTTTTATAGCCCACTGGAGGCCTGGTGCATGAAATTTGTGCATGGGGAGGGGGAGTGGTTTTCTTCAGCCTGGCCTACGCCCTCTCACAGTCCAGGATCTCTCTCGTAGTCCAGGACCCCTCACTTCTTACCACCTGCCTGCTTGCTGCTCCTTACCACTCGACTCATTGCTCCTTAGCGCTGCCTCAGAGGCGGGAGAGGCTCCTGCCACTGAATTCGCCAGCCATGAGCCCGACTTCTGCCGAGTGGTGCTCCCCCTGTGAGAGCACCCTGACCACCAGGGGGCAGCTCCTGGGTTGAGTGACTGTTTGTTCCATTGTTTGGTCGATTTGCATATTAGGGTTTTATTATATAGGATAAGGGATGGAGGTCCCACTCATATTGGTGTCTAGATGGAGCCCTTATCCAAGTATCTAGACTTGTGACTTTGGTCATTCCAGTCCCCTCCTAAGGGCATTCCTGTTACAGCCCCTTACCTTAGTCTTGACATAGCACTTGACATAACTGTCATGGCTGACAGTGACTCCATTTTAGATGGTCAAAAAAAGTCCCATATGCTCTTGCTCTATATATCGTCACTCAGCACATGGTATGCAGTAAGCACTTAGTGAGTATTGGTGGAGAGGATGTGTGAATGCTAATACAAATGCTGATTTTTATTTTTATTTATTTCTTACTCTTTTGTCTGGTTCTCAAGAGCAAACAACATGAAAGGGAGTTCATGTCACTTCATTGTTTTACTTAAACATCTGTTTATTATAAATATAGTAGCTATATAGGATAGAAAAATGCAAGGAATACAGAAAGATTTCAGTTGAAAAGTAAAAATTTCCCTGAATTTTCTCTCTTCTAAACATTACTCCCTAGAAGTGACTTTTTATTTTTATTTTTTAAAACTAGAGGCCCAGTGCATGAAATTGGTGCATTTGGGGGGGAGGGGGGGTGTCCCTCAGCCCAGCCTGCACCCTCTCCAACCTGGGACTCCTCGAAGGATGTCCGACTGCCCGTTTAGGCCTGATCCTGGTGGTCAGTCGGACATCCCTCTCACAATCCAGGACTACTGGATCTCAACTGCTCTCTTGCCTGCTTTCCTGATTGCCCCTAACCGCTTCTGCCTGCCAGCCTGATCACCCCCTAACCACTCCCCTGCCAGCCTGATTGATGCCTAACTGCTCCCCTGCCAGCCTGTTTGCCCCTAACTGCCCTCCCCTGCAGGCCTGGTCCCCCCGCAGCTGCCCTGCAGGCGTAGTCACCCCCAACTTCCCTCCTCTGCTGACCTGGTCACCCCTAACTGCCCTCCCCTGCAGGCCTGATCGCCCTCAGCTGCCCTCCCTTGCAGGCCTGGTTCCTCTCAACACCCCTTCCCTGCTGGCCATCTTGTGGTGGCCATCTTGTGTCCACATGGAAGCAGGATCTTTGACCACATGGGGGTAGCAATCTTGTGTGTTGCAGTGATGGTCAATCTGCATATTACTCTTTTATTAGATAAGATAGAGGCCTGGTGC